AGCGGGTGCCCGGCGGGTGGAGGATCACCCGCCGGCTGCCTGCCGGCGACGAGTCTCCGGGCAGCGGGTGCCCAGCGGGCAGTCGTCTGCCAGCCGGCTGCCCGCTGCCGGCGTCGTCCTTTTTGGGCAACGGGTATGTGGCGGATCCCCCTACCCCCCACTGACTCCTTTTTCAATATATTTGTCCCAGGATTTTTTGTGGAACCCGGAACCAAGTTTTAGACAATTTTAAACACAAACGACCACACCACGTAGTCAAATAATGGATTAAAACCAAGAATCATATTGAATGCATTCTAATTCGACTTCTAAAAACAATTAACACCCAAACATGCGAAATCCCACCCAAATATACACCAAGGACATCACAATATAAAATTCCCAATTTAACCTAGGGCTCTAATCCCATTCAAATCATCAAGATCATAGTTCATCTTTAATATCAAGAAACATCAAGATTTATCAAGAACATCACACAATCATCAAGATCCTCTTATCATCATCAAGATCATCAAGATCACACATAAAATCATCATATCAATCATCAAGATCATATCATAAATATCATAGAAGATTTCATCAAGACACCAGCATATAGAAGGAGCCAAAGAAGAAGATTATAGCAAGGAAAATACGTTTTGTTGAGACATGGGTTACCTCTTAGCCTTAATTAAATTCCTTGGCTATGAAGGGTTTTTCTTTAAGATATCTTCTTTCTTGATTTCTCCTATGGGAATTCTTGTGTGGTGAAAGTTATTGTGGTGTGGGTTCTAGGTGCCTCCTGTGCCCCTATTTATATTCCTAAGTGTCCCAATTAGGGTCTAAATGGTATAAGTTTGCTAATTCTATTCCTTATAGGACTAAGGGGTTGGTTTTAGGGATAAGGGTCCATGGACTATGGTGGACCTTTCTTAGTTAATTAATGGATTTTAATTCTCTTTTTAGGGTAAGTAATTAAATAATTAGTTTGGGTTAGAGGTCGTAACACACGGTGTTACACTCTCCCCCCCCCTCCCTACAAGAGGCTTCGTCCCCGAAGCCGGTGCGTGAATCCATTCTTTCACCTCCGGGACGTCATGTGTTTTGGCCCCCTGGTTACGAAATATGGCCCCACCTGTCATTTGTTGATGGGGTAGAGTGAAACTTTGGCGCGGTGGTGTATGAAAGGGTTTTTGGTCTACCTTAGTTTCCTGCTCCTGAGCTAGATGCCCCACGCGTGCCCAACATGGCTTCGATTGTTGCTACCCTTTGATCTAATGCACGCGTTGCATGGATTAGGGATGAGAACCCTTCGTCCATGATTTGGTTTTGCCTGGTGAGCTGCGCGAGGATGCGCGCGTTGATGGATTCTTGATCTTGGCTTCCTGGATTTTCTCTTTCTTGTGTGGGGGCTGGTGGGTTAGGCTCACTTTCCTCCTCTTGTTCCTCCTGTTTCCCTTGCCCTCTACACTCTTGCATTGCTCTTCTTAGTTTCTTCTTGGAGATGTCTAGTTGGTCCACCAATTCTCTACGTTCTTCCTCCGATTTTAGACAAACCTCCTCGAGGGTAAGGGTGTCAAAGTGGGCCGAAGCCCGCGGGTTAGCCCGCACCCGCCTCGCGATGGGGCGGGTTAGGGCTGCAAGAAATTAGGCTCGCAAAAATGCGGGCCTAACGGGCATGGCCCTCGGAGGGCCAAAGCCCGCGCGGGCAAATCCGTGCGGGTTGCGGGCCGGCCCGCGGGCCAGGCCATATTTAAAAAATAAATAAATAAAAAATATATATAATATCTTTTTTTTAAAAAAAAAAACATATATATAATATCTTAATTCTTAGGCAGTGTGTAGATCTGACTATTTAAGAGTACGCAGAAGGGGAGAAATCCAATAATTCAATAATCCTTCGCAAATTCTTAATTCAATAATTCCTAGAGTACGTAGTTCTTCAATTCTCCCATCTCCATCCGCCTCCAACTTTTTCAAACAATTACTAAAACTAAATCATCAATTCATACATATTTATGAATTACTAAATTGCCTCCAAGTCCAGCAAACATACATATTTATATATGTATTATACATAGACGGGAACTGTAGAGGGAAAATCTGAAGCCGAGAGAGAAATAAAGTGTGCTGTTGAACCATATCCCTAGCTTTGATCACCCTTCTACAGTTCTTCTCAACGCGCGGTATCGATCCGGGAGATTTGGGCGAGGTTTATGGATTTTATGGAAGTTTTCGGTGCATTGAGGTGTATCATACACCGTGAGGATGCGAAATAACGATCAATAGATAATGCCATATTTTAAGCGGTTTTAACATGTTTATATAATATTTAATGTTTTTTTTTTAAATTTAAGTGATGGCCCGCGAGACCCGCAAGCCCGCATGGGGCAGGCATGGGCTGTATAGTTCCAATCCCGCGGGCTTCGCGGGCCGGCCCGTAAAAGCCCGCCAAATAAAAAGCCCGCAGTGGGGCGGGCCGGCCCGCATTGACACCCTTACTCGAGGGTGATGTATTGTCCCCATTCGGTGTAGTAGATGTCGTTGCGGCGGAGGTTCTGGGCTTTGAAAATCATCCCGCTTACGGGTTTGACCTCTGTGTGGCTTAAGTCCACCCCCATTTTCTCCATGATCCAACTTAGGATCATCCCTTAGGGTAGACTAAGCCGGTTGCTTGTCTTGCAAAACTCCATGTGTTTTAGCATAAGGGCCGGTAGGTTGAACTTGGTCTTGTGCTTTAAAAAGTAGGCAAAGGTACACTCCAGACTTCCCACATCCTTACTCTTCTTGTTCGTAGGCAACAAGCTATCCGTTAGAATCATGACTAGTATCTTTTGTTCGGCGGTTAGCCATTTCCTCGTTAGGCCGGGTGGCCGAGGTGAAGCCTTCTTCCATTCCTAGTAGGCACCCGAGGTAATCCTTATACCCCGTGCCTTGGGTACCGATCCATCCCATTCGGTCATAGTCTGACACACCCATGGTGGTCAACTTTAAGAGCTTGGCCAGACGGCCCTCGGAGAGTATTATCTCCTTGCCTCGGACTTTGGTGGTGATCTCCAACTTGTCACCCCGTTTGTTGGCTACCAAGTGGTGATAGAACTCTTTCACCAACTCGGGGTACGTATCCCCTTCGATTGTGAGATAGGTATCCAAAAGCCCCTAGAATTTAAGCATATCGACCAATTCCGGAGAGAATTGGTTAGGTTCGAGGGCTTTACCTCCGATTATCGTGTAATCGGTGTCGTTCCAATCCGGAGTTCGGATGCCAAAGAGCTTTTTCGGCATGGTGCGGTTTTTCCCGGTGGCGTTTTCTCCCGGTGCTATTTTTTCGGCAAGACTCCGGCGAGGCTCCGGTGAACTTCTGGTGATGCTCCGAAGGAGGATTCCGGCGACGGTGGTGGGGCTTGGCTTTTGGGTGGCGAGGTGTGGCGGTCCAGGGCGGAGCAGTAGGCCGCGGGGACAACGGGAGGAGGCCGGGCGAGCAGTGGTCTTGCGCTGGCAGCGGGAGAGCGGCGGAGTGGCGTCGCGTAGTGGCGGGCGTGCGACGGGCGGCTTCCGATGGTTGGGTGGCAGTGGGGCGTGGCTGGGTGGTCTCCGGGGCGTCTATGATAGGGTCCGGGCGGTGGTGCAGCCTGGGTGGTTTCTTCGTCGGCAGTGTGGAGAGGGCGAGAGAGAGGGGGTAGGAGAGAGGAAGAGAGGGTTTGTGTGAGGAGGAAGAAGAAGGGTTTTTGATTTGAGGATTTTGTGGGTTTTGGGGACTTGTAGTGGTTTAAAAAGGGAGTGTTCCCTTGAAGTTTCAAGAAACACTCATAGCTTAGTGGTTAGGGACTTGGGCTTACAAATGGGAGGTTTTGGGTTCAATCCCCTTTGGTGACATTAGTCTTTTTTGTTGTGCACCCCTTTGGCTTTTTCCTTCTTTTGTCTTCTAGTGGTAGAAGGTTTGGCCGGTCCTCTTTGTTGTTGATGCGGGTTTTCAGAGTAGTCTAGTCCTTTTCCTTATGCTAAATTATTTTGATTTTGCTTCTTTATTTGTAATAATTCCGAAGTAGCTAATCTAAACAAGTAACTTTACTATGAGTGTGGTTACAGGGGATTCACTAGTTATCCTAAACAGAACTCGTCTTCTTGGTTTTCTTCTGATTGGTTTGCGGGGTCTTCGTCTCCTGGGGCCATGTTTTCTTCGTCGAGGTTGCCCTCATTTTCAAGTTCGGCCTGAGTGCGGCTCATGACGAACACCTTTCCGGGAGCACTGTAATTCCCTTAATTATTTGTGCCCCCGCGATGACCCATGATTGTAGGGATTAAGTTCGAGGGTTGAGTGAATTGTAAGGACTTGTGTCCTTCTCCTCCGCAGTTGAAGCATCGCCAGGGGTTTCCCATGCAGTCTTTGCCTCTATGGTCCTTGTTGCATCTTCGGCAAGGGAAACTCCTTGTACTAGCTTCGTTGTTCCCCAGGGGTGGCCCTTGGCCAGCTGGATTGCTTGGCCTAGTGTTCCTTTTACGAATCTGTTCCTGAACCCCACGTTGTAGTAGTTGGATTTGGTAGAGATTGGCGGCACTGGAGTAAGTCTCGTTGAGGGTCCGGGGTCCACTTACTATTAGTGCCTTCCGGGCTTCGAAGTTGAGGCCTGATATAAATCTTTCTATTTTTGTTGCCTCTGTGGGGACCAATTCTGGTGCGAATCGGGCTAACTCGAGGAACCGCTTAGGTATTCCATGACGGTAGACATTCCTTGTTTCAGGTGGAAGCACTACTACAGAATTGGAAATATAAGTAGTATTTTCCACTACACCTTCAAAGTGAAGGTGTCTTGAAAAGAAAAAGGGAGAATTTTTCGAGGCACCAATTACAAAGAGGTGCCTCGGAAATATTATTATTATAATAATAATATTAGAATCCGAGTCACCCCTTAGACAAGCGCCGCGGATATAATAATATTATTATAATAATAATATTAGAATCCGATTCACCCACTTAGACTGGAGCCTCGGATTCCCACCCAAAATTTAGCATATCTAGATCTGAGATCGAGTAAAAAAAAATCCCACTCCGTATATTAAAGAACTCTCCGTTCGACGCCCAGATTCCCTGATTCCCACTCCGTCAGCTGCGCTCTCGGTCCGCCGCCCTCCGTCCGAGGTTGTTAGCTCTTCCGTGGCCGACGGCGATGGATAGTCGTGCAGCTGCGAAACCTCTGACGCACAGAGTGTCCGTCTCTCCTTCGCCTTCTTTTCCCTTCCTCCATCCCCTCTTCTTGGCCGACGACGATGATGCACAGTGATGGAGAGAGCACTGGATTTGAAATCCACGAAGAGAGCAACGACGGAGAGAGCATCAGATATGAAATCGCCGACGGAGAGAGCATCAGATCTGAGGTATAGTAGTCACTTCCTAAGGTCTGATTTTTTTTATTTTTTTTTTGATGATATAGATTCAACGGTGTTTTTGAAAGGGTTCTGTGGATAGATGAACGGCGGCAGAGGGAGGAACAGCGGCGACGGTGCGGCGATGTGGCTACGGTTCTGTTTTTTTCTTGAATTTTTTTGCTTGGTTTTAGCGAATGGAGAAATTGATGTGTTTAGTGCTATTAATCTGTTTTTCTGCTTCAATGTTTAGTGCCTAAAGTGCCTTAATCTGTTTTTCTGCTTCAATGTTTAGTGCCTTCAATGTTTTTCTGCTTCAATTGATGTGTTTAGTGCCTTCAATGGAAAGTCTTTTTGACTAAATTAAGTTCCTTTATGTTTCAAAAAAAAAGTTCTTTTTTTCCAGATAGAAATGCTATATGCCATTCTGGGAGAACAAAGTTAGAGGAATGACCTTGAAAAATCCTCAACGAGATATTCTACTATTTAGTGAAATATAAAAAGGTGTAGCTAATTGAAATTATAATCATATTAAGCTCTAACATTTAATTTAACAATGAGATATTTCTTATGCTTCACTAATGTTATATTGTTGTATTATCTTGTTCACATGCAGAGTTTTAAACCTTCCTTAAAGACAATATATATTGGAAGACATGGAAGGCAAACATCATACAACCAATGTTATATTGTTGCAATCCGTGATGCTAATGCAGCTTTACATGTGTGCATGCAGCTATATATATTTTAAGATTAAAACTATACTGAACTACCAGAGTATATCTTATTAAGATGCAAATGAGTGTATCTCAACTCATTGGGGTGTATACTGTATACTCACATTGGTTTTATGGTGCAAAGTTATCAAATATTAGTGGCCTTGCACAAATATGCAGCTAAATAGAATCCAACCCAAACAACCAAGCTGGCTATGTAAACAAATATTTGAATCTTTTGCACAAACCAGTTCCATGTGGCATAATTTGGAATTGATGCTACTTATATTATCCAGAAAAGTATGAGTTTGAAGTTGATTAGTCTCTTTTGCCAATTTTCAGTTCTTTTAATATTCTTCCTTGAAATGGTTGTAGGGTCCTGAAGCTGCTTCTGTTCTCAAGGATGGTATGTGGGTCATTGAGTTGATTTCCTTTTCGATTTTGTTATTTGTTTGAGACTCATCTTTTATGTGATCATAAGCATTGTCAGTTGACTAAGTGCTTGATTATGAACATTCTGGAGACATTATTTTGCTTTTACTTACTCCATCTAATTTTTCTGTAATATGCAGGACAAGTTATTGGAGTCCATGCTCTGGATGAATTGGATACCAAGTTAACTGCCGCAAGGTTTAGGTTGGTTGCACCCATTTGGTTAGTATTGGTTTGCACTAAGGCAATGTGGCATTATGGATTAGTTAGTGGTTTGTATAAGCATTGTGTCCTTGTTGGGTTACCACTTTTGGGTCACATGTAAAACATTGTTTTGGTAGCAATGAATAACTCTTTAAAAAAACATTTCTTTATTAAACTTTACCTTTTGGCTGTAATTTTTTCTTATATATATATATATATATATTTATATTTATATTTATTTATTTATTTATTAAAATTGTAACTTTCCGAGGCACCCACTTGTAAGTGGGTGTCTTGGAAACAAATTAATAAAATAATAATAAAGGACTATCCGAGGCACCTGCAGCGGAGCAGGTGCCTCAGAAAGTTCGTATTAAAAAATTAAAAAAATCATTTTTCGCTTTTCGAGTCACCCTTTACGGGTGACTCGGAAAGCGGAGAACTTTCATAGTCTCCAAGATCCGAGTCACCTGTACAGGTGACTCGGAAAGTGTTTTATGGGAGACTCTAAAACCTTTTTTTGTACTAGTGAGGAATTCCTCGTGCATGGATGCTTTTACGTGTGCTGGGTAGAATCGTTCTCGTAGTCGTGTTTTTAGGTTTTCCCAGTTGAACCCTGGTTCTTGTCTATAAGTGGGCCCCACGTGGATCCACCAAAGGTCTGCCTCGTGTCCGAAGTAGAATGAGGCTATCTCTACACGAAGTTCTTCTGGGCATTCCACCAATCCCAGAATCTTGTCGAAGGTCCGAATCCATTCCTCAAGGGTTGCGGGGTCTTCTTCTCCCGAGAAAGTGGGTGGTCGATCATTTGAAACTTGTCGAGCGATTTCTGAGTTTGCGTTTGGTGGAGGCGGTGGTTGTCTGTTGTTGCGGAGAGCTTCGTCGCTCAGTGCCTGGGCGACTTGTGTTAGTTGTTGTAGAGTTTGAGCTAGGGGATCGTGTGCGGTGGGTTACGGAGTTCTTGACTGTCTTCTGTTTGGTATCAAGCTGTTGATATACTGAGCCAATGTTTATAGTAATGTTGAGTTAGAGTGTTGCACCCTTACCTTGATGCGATAAGCGAATGGGAGAGTTCTTTAAGTTAAACGAAGGGTAGAGCGAGGGAGGGTTATGTGATGACGAGTATACTCACAATCTCACCGCGCGTCCTATGATTTCTAAATCCTATGTTCCTAAATACATAGAGTCCAAGCCTAATATCCTAAAGTCTGGTCTTAAGAGTCTCGTCCTACGGTCAAACTTAGGCTCTGATACATATGTATCTAAGGTCATAGTTTACTTTCATATCATTCACATCATCCTTCAATCAATATCTTTGTCATACAAGCATACTTTGATGGCGCCACGGGACTAATCGCATGCCCCAAACATGAGGGTTAGCGCACATGGCGCTAACACGGCCCCGCAGCACCCTACCTACCTCATACCGCAGCATGAAGGAATTGACCGCAGCCAATTGTATAGACCGTCGATGGATTCAACGCCGGATCACAGCCCTACACACCGCTGACGCGTTCAGTCGGTGGACTGTGATCCTCTTTTGGGGACTGCAACCCTACACACCGCTGGCGAGCTCAGTCGGTGGTCGTAGCCGATCATAGCCCTACACACCGCTGAGGGATTCAGTCGGTGGACTATGACCTCTGGGGACTACGACCCTACACACCGCTGGCACGTACATTCGGTGGATCGCATTCGACCATAGCCCTACACACCGCTGACGAACTCAGTCGGTGGACTATGGCCTTCCTTGTTACTTGTAGCCCTACACACCGCTGACGCGTTCAGTCGGTGGACCACAGCGCACGGGGCCCATTTGGTGGACCGCAGCCCAAGAGTGTATTTCTGATCGCAACCAGATTATGAACCGCAGCTTATGTAAAACCAATTTGACCGCAGCCAATCATGCACACATAACACGTAGCAAGCACATGTAACCCACATTAACAAATAGGGAGGGGGAAAATGTATAAATAAAACTTATGCATAGTCAACCACCTACTGAGAATAGTCCTAAGGGGTTCATACATCTTCCACCTTGGTCAACGGGTTACCGATTCAACTAGCATGCAATACACAAGACACTTTTATCCTACGAATGGTCCCCGAAACATCAAACCAGACCCAGGCACGACAAACGGAGTTCGTTGGGACACCACGAGGGTTGGGGAACATCAAACGGGGAAGCCAAAGTCCCAAAGTGGGAGAAATCCTGCGGGTGGCCGGCGGGTGGAGGATCACCCGCCGGCGACGAGTCTCCAGGCAGCGGGTGCCCGGCGGGCAGTCGTTTGCTCGCCGGCTGCCCGCTGCTGGCGTCGTCCTTTTTGGGCATTGGGTAGGTGGCGGGTCCCCCTACCCCCCACTAATTCGTTTTTCAATATATTGGTCCCGAGATCTTTCGTGCAAGCCGGAACCAAGTTTTAGACACTTTTAAACACAAACGATGACACCGCGTAGTCAAATAACGGATTAAAACCAAGAATCATATTGAACACATCCTAATTCGACTTCTAAACACAATTAACACCCAAACATGCGAAATCCCACCCAAATATACACCAAGGACATCACAATATAAAATTCCCAATTTAACCTAGGGCTCTAATCCCATTCAAATCATCAAGATCATAGTTCATCTTTAATATCAAGAAACATCAAGATTTATCAAGAACATCACACAATCATCAAGATCCTCTTATCATCATCAAGATCACACATAAAATCATCATATCAATCATCAAGATCAAATCATAAATATCATAGAAGATTTCATCAAGACACCAGCATATATAAGGAGCCAAAGAAGAAGATTATAGCAAGGAAAATACGTTTTGTTGAGACATGGGTTACCTCTTAGCCTTAATTAAATTCCTTGGCTATGAAGGGTCTTTCTTTAAGATATCTTCTTTCTTGATTTATCCTATGGGAATTCTTGTGTGGTGAAAGTTATTGTGGTGTGGGTTCTAGGTGCCTCCTATGCCCCTATTTATATATATAAGAGTCCCAATTAGGGTCTAAATGGTATGGGTTTGCTAATTCTATTCCTTATAGGACTAAGGGGTTGGTTTTAGGGATAAGGGTCTATGGACTATGGAGGACCTTTCTTAGTTAATTAATGGATTTTAATTATTTTTTTAGGGTAAGTAATTAAATAATTAGTTTGGGTTAGAGGTCGTAACACGGGCTGTTACAGGGTGCCCGGCGGGCAGTCGCCTGCCCACTGCTGGCGATGCCCTTAGGGGCAGCGGGTAGGTGGCGGGTTCCCTTACCCCCCACTGACTCTTTTTCAATATAACGGTCCCGGGATCTTTCGTGGAACCCGAAACCATGTTTAGACACTTTTAAACATAAACGACGACACCACGTAGTCAAATAATGGATCAAAACCAAGAATCATATTGAACATGTCCTAGCATGACTTCTAAACATAATTAACACCCAAACATGCAAAGTCCCACCCAAATAAATCAAGAATATCACAATACGAAATTCCCAATTTTAACCTTGGGCTCTAATCATATTTAAATCATCAAAATCATAGTTTTATCTTTAAAATCAAGAACATAAAGATTTATCAAGAACATCACACAATTATCAAGATCCTCTTATAATCATCAAGATTATCAAGATCAACACATAAGATCATCTCATCAATCATCAAGATCATATCATAATCATCATAAAAGATTTATCAAGACATAAGTATAGAGAAGGAGCCAAAGAAGAAGATTATAGCAAAGAAAATAGGTTTTGTTGAGACATTGGTTACCTCATAGCCTTAATTAATCCTCCCTTGGCTATTAAGGTTCTTCTCTAAGATTTCCATCCGATTGATCTCCCTAGGCTTGGTGGTGGTGAAACTCCCGGGAATATTTTCGTGTAATATGACTATGGGTGGTAAGGGTTCTAATTGCTTTCTAATCCCCTATTTATAGAATCAGGAATCCTAATCCTAATCTGAATAGTAAAGGCCTACTTTCTTTATTCCTAATAGATATATAGGTCTAGGATTCCTAATTTGAATCTGACTAGTAAGAGGTTTACTCTCTTTATTCCTAATAGGTGGACCACATTAATTAATTAAAGGGAATCCTAACCAAATTAAATACTTTTTAATTATTATTAACGGAATTAATTAAATAATGAATCCGGGATTGAAGGCCGTAACACGGGGTGTTACACCCTCCCCCCCCCCCCCCTTACAAGAAGCTTCGTCCCCGAAGCTTAGAAATCGTTACGGGGATAACGAGTCAAAACTAGTATGGTGGTTATACAGTGAAAGTATTCTACGGGGAAAATATATAATTATATATCTATGTATACTGGGTTTTTGGGAGCGATTTGGGTTAAGAGGATAAAGATAGTGGACGGTTCGGGTTTCAATCTTGAGGACAAAGTGAATTTTGGGAATTAGGATCAAAGTTTTCAAAGTTGCAACTTAGGAAGTGAGGTTGATACCTTGTATGAAATCGTTAAAATGGGGAACCGAGGATGAGGTTTGAAGGGTAGAAAGGGTTTTGCAATAAGACGGGGTTCGATTGTCAAAGGGGAGGAATGGAATTCGGCTAGGATGGGTTAAGGATTCTCGACGTCGAGTGATTATTCCTGTTTGATGCCTGATTATGACGTCAAGACGAACTAACGATCCTTTTTCTTTAGTTTTGGCTCCGCTTGGTTCTCAGATTTCCATTGGTATTTTCTTCCCATGCTAAGGTCTCATCTATCTTTACCGCTTTTGAAGGAATTTTTGTGATGAATTCCGTGCCTACTCTCCCAAAATGCCCAAAAGTCTTGACCTAGTCGGTTAGCAAAGCCGATCCTTAGGTCTCAACTCCCGATTCTTGTTGGGGTTCTATGAGGATCAAGGGACTTTGGGTTGGTTTCTTCGTTTTAATGAATTTCATCTCTTCCTTGGTAGGTGAAATCTTAGCACGACTTCACGTCCTTCCCGAAATTTGGCTTGTTGCGCCCTTTTGGTGATGCTTCTAGTAGCGAAAGCTTCTTAGTACGCTTCCCTCCTTCTTGGGATGCAGTCGGTTTATTGGTTCTTGTTGCGAAATGACTTGGCGGTCCTTATGAGTTGTTTTACTTCCTTGTTTGGCCCTTAAAGTAATTGAGGTCT